TCTCAAAAAAAAAAAAAAAAAAAAACAACTAAAAATAGAGCTACCATATGACCCAGCAATCCCACTACTGGTATATATCTGGAGAGGAATTCCATATATTGAAAGGATAAATGCATTCCCATGTTTACTGCAGCACTATTCACAATAATCAAGACTTGAGATCGACTTAAGTGTCCATTGACGGATAAATGGATAAAGAAATTGTGGGGCGGTGCCTGTGGCTCAGTGAGTAGGGTGTGGCACCATATACCAAGGGTGGCGGGTTCAAACTTGGCCCCTGGCTGAACTGCAACAAGAAAAACAGCCGGGCGTTGTGGCAGGTGCCTGTAATCCCAGCTATTTGGGAGGCTAAGGCAAGAGGATCACCTAAACCCAGCAGGTTTAGGTTGCTGTGAGCTGTGATGCCATGACACTCTACAAAGGGCAATAAAGTGAGACTCTGTCTCCAAAAAAAAAGAAAGAAAGAAAGAAATTGTGCTGCACAGACATAGTAGAATATTATATAGCTACAAAAAAGAATGAAATCCTGCCATTTGCAACAACATGGATAGAAATGGAGAATGTTAGGTTAAGTGAAATAAGCCAAGCACAGGATAAATCTCACATGCTGCCACCATATATGGGAGCTAAACATTAAAAACAATTGTTCCCAGCTCCCCACCCATAGCTCAGTGAGTAGGACACCAGCCACTTACCCCAAGGCTGGCGGATTTGAGCCCAGCCCGGGCCTGCTGAACAGTGACAACTGCAACCAAAAAATAGCCAGGCATTGTGGCAGGCGACTGTAGTCCCAGCTACTTGGGAGGCTGAGGCAAGAGAATTCCTTAATCCCAAGACTTTGAGGTTGCTGTGAGCTGTGACGCCACAGCACTCTACCGAGGGTGACATAGTGAGACTGTCTCAAAAAAACAAACCAACTGATCTCACAGAGACAGAGAGTAGAATGATTGCCAGAAGCTGGGAAGGGGGGATATAGTGGAGATAGTTAATGGGTGCAAAAATATAATCAGTTAAATAGAATGAATAATATTTGATAGCACAACAAAGTGAGTATAACCAAACATAAGTTAGGGTATACTTTAAAATAACTAAAAGAATGGAATTGGAATGTTCCTAATAAAAATAAAATAAAATAGATTCCTGAGGTAATGGATACCTCAATTACCCTAATTTGATTAATTCACAGCGTGTGCCTGTACCAAAACATCATGTGTACCTTGTAAGTCTATACAACTATTATGTATCCATAATAATTAAAAATTTTTAAAAGATAGGCTTGGTGCATAGTGGTTATGGCGCCAGCCACATGCACCAAGGGTGGTGGGTTCAAACCCAGCCTGGGGCCAGGTAAACAATGACAACCACAACAACAACAAAATAGCTGGGCATCGTGGCAGGCATCCCAGCTACCTGGGAGGCTGAGGCAAGAGAATTGCTTAAGCCCAAGAGTTTGAGATTGCTGTGAGCTGTGATGCCAGGCCCTCTACCAAGGGCAACATAATGAGACTGTCTCAAAAAAAAAAAAATTAAAAAGGAAAAGAAATAATCATCTAGGGCCAAGAATATTAGTAGGCAATTTGTAAGAAAGAAAATACAAATAGCTCAACTTATCTTTTAAAAGTTTATTCATACATAAGAGAAATGCAAATTAAAACTACAGAAACACCATTTTTCACCAGTCTGGCAAAAATCAGAAAGCTCTCTAACACATGGAAAGCTCACACGCATTGCTGGTGTGACAACTGGAACTACTTCCTCTATTGAGGACAACTCAGAAACATGTACCATTATTGCACGTACCCTGTGACCCAGGAGTTCCACCACTGGGAACTCATCCTTCCAATTACCAGAACCACCCTTCATCAAGAGGAAGTCTGTTAAGTAGATTACGGTACCTCCATGAATGGGGAAGCTCTATCCAGTATTGCTATGGAATTCTTTAAAATACAGTAAGTTAAAAAAATAAAATAAAACAAGCACTACATAGGGACGGACAGAAAAGGCAGCCTCTGAGGAGGGTAGGTGGGCAGCCGGTGCCAGGCACTGAACTCTTAGTGCCTTTTGAACTTTGAACCACGTGAACGTATTATTCAGAAAAACAAAATTAATATACTTAGTGAAGTCTTCCTTACTACTAGCATTCCTAGCTTAGCTCTAGGTAGCTGAGTTTCTTACTCTCTCCTACAGAATATCCTCTCTTGCTGAAACTTATGGAGCAAAAAGCACAGGGGCTGAGTGACAGACTAGGCAGGCACAATTGTTCCTCTGCCAGCCTAAGGGGAGACTCCTCAGGGTCTCCCAGGCCTGCACTTCTTCCCTCTGCCTACAGGTGGTGCTACAAGGCCTGCTGTCCTGAACAAACCACGGTGGCCTGGGGAGCCTTGGGTCCTGGAGCTTGTGGACCAACAGGCCAAGAAATAGGCAGGCACAAATAAGTAACATAAAATATAAACTAACTTTATTTGTTTAGAAGAAGCAGGTACTGATAGCTGGGGTAGCAACTTGGGTGAGAGGCTGGTGGAAAAACACAGAACAGCACAGGGGAAGAGTCGGGGTCAAAGAGGAAGCACTGACTGACATGCCTCCAGGGCACCTGCCCCTTTGGTCTCCTTCCAACCCTGGGGCCTTGGGCCCTGGTCCCTGCCAGAGAATGGTCTGGCACCCTTTCCCTGCTTCCTGAGCCACCTCAGGCTATTTCCAGACACAAGATTCTAAGACCAGCCAAGTCCCGTAACATGTCCACAGCAAGGCCACAAGTCACATTCTATCTGATACCCCAACTGCCTGCCAGGGACTCCTTGAAAAGGGCCCAGCCCTCAGGAGGGCTCCCTGGATGCTGGTCCACCTTTCTCTGTGGCAAACACATCCTTCCTGCCTAGGTCAAGCCTGGTTTCCTCTCAGTCTGGTCCCCTGGGCAGGATCTGGGGGCACAATTCCATCCACAGGCCCAGCCAAGGCCTGGAGCCCAAAGGCAGGTCATGCGCAGGGCCTACCAGGGCAGCCCAGACCTGCTTTCATAGGGCTTCTTCCCATAATGTGGCTGGGCACCAAGGGCTGAACCAAAGTGTGCAGGGGCAGCACTGGGTATGGGAGGGACAGGCAAGGCAGGGCTCCAGCCTCCTGCTGCCTCGGCCTCATTCTGTCCATGGGAGCAGAAGTGGCAGCAGGTCTTCCAGGCCTGGATAGGGGCGTCTCCCCACCATTGGCAGATGGACAGGCTCAAGTGATTCCTTCAGGGAAGGTCCTCTGGCTCTGCAGATGTATCTCAGCGCCTAAAGGATGGGAAGCAACCAAAAAGTCCCTCCATTAAACAGATTATGGGAAGTCCAGAGTGAGTGAGCACCAGAGGACCAAAGGAGTCACTGCCTCTTGGTGCCAGGTGATCAGGTGAAAACTCGTAGTCCCAAACAATAAGCTTGGAACTTATCACCTTCATGTTTCTTTTTTCTTTAATAAACTATGAATAAATTAATTGAGAAGAGCACTATTATGAATTAAGAGTACCTAGAGAGGACAGGTACAATAAGCCCAAGCTTAATTGGATACAAATTAGTAAGAATAAACATGAGATAACGTCTAACAAATATCTAACACTTAGAGATTGTTCTGTATGCCAGACATTTGGTGACACATACAGCAGATACATCACTTATCAATCTTTCTAATCGATTCTATGAGGTAGGCACTATTGTTTATATGCTTTACAGATGAGAAACCTGAGTGCTCAGTGCACTGCCGTTGACAACAAAGGCTGGTTCTAATTCCGTCTGACAAATCTTAACCCCCACATTCTACCTGCACCTCCACCATCTATATTTTACTACTTTTTGATTTGATATGTTTCATATAAATGTTTACATAAAATATATATTTAAATAACTATATTTTAAAAAACCAATCTAGGCCAGGAGCAGTGGCTCATGCCTGTAATCTCAGTACTTTGGGAGGCTGAGGCAGGAGGATCACTTAACGCCAGGAGCTTGAGATCAAACTGGACAACACAGTTACAACTCATCTCAACAACAACAAAGAAACTTATCTATATTTATTTGTATGTCTACATATTTTGTTATACTATAAATAGCTATGTATTTTGCTATAAAACCTTTTACTGGAAGTATGTTGTTGTTGTTGTTGGACATTCCTTTAAAAGGCATTATAATTTTAAACATTAAACAGAAATATGAAAAAAAGAGAAATATTTGTTTAAACTATGGAGTCCTAAAGTGCTGCTCCCTGGAGCCACTCAGGATTGCTGATAGCAAATCCCCTTCAACCAGAGAGGCTCTAGTTCCTTTTTATTCCTCAGTTTATCTGAAAACTACATAACTAAAAATCTAAATGAATTCATTTTGGAGAAAGTGTTTTCAACTGCCTGCTTCCTGAGAACTGTCTTCTGGCCTTTAGTGGTCTGTGAAGTGCTAGGCTCTGTTCTAGTGGGATAGGGGCTAGAGTATGGCCCTCACTCACTTGTGGTGAGCAGGGCCACAGGAGCCCAAAAGGTGGCAGCCAGCTTGCTCCAGGTTCCAGTCGAACATCTCTAGCACTTTGTGGCACTCCCCCCTTGGCCGCAGACCCAGCCCAAAGAGTTGTTCCACCTGAGGGCAGAGGGTTGTGCCATGGACATGATGGGTATGGGGGAACAGGACCACACCCGGGGCAGGGGCAGGGGCAGCAGAGAGGCAGGACAGGAGAGGCAGGGGTGGCAGGTCGGGAGCAGAACTAGTCTTCAGGGTCCATGAACACCAGGGCAGATGGTGGTGGTACCTTCAGATACTGAGCAGCCCTCTGCACACTCCAGCCATGGCTCTGCAAGGCCGCCTGGCACTCCTCTGTGGTTACCCCATGTACCATGGCCTGCAGCTGGGCACACCCACCCACCAGTCAGTGTCATTCTGCCACTGCTCTATGCCCCACTCCTCCTCACCAAGGCCAGGCCTGGGGCTCACCGTCTGGATCTTATCTGCAGGCCGCCCAGCCTCTGCCCCATCCCCAGGGCAGCCCCTCTGTAGTAGTCGAGCAGTGGCCCTCAAGGCCGGTGGCCGGGGCCCTGGATTGCTGTTGTTGCTGGAGACATTAGCTTTGGGGTCTGAGGCAGCCTGGGGCATCGGTCGAACAGTGGCAGTGGGGGCAGCAGGGGCTGGGGTGCTGGGTGGGGGCAGAAGCAGGGGTGTAGGCACGGGTGCTGGCTCCACAGGACTCTGGGCCTCCTGCAGGAAGCGCTGGTAACGCTCCAGGTAGGGCGGGCGCTCAGGCAGCAGGTAGTAGTGGGTGTTGCTGACCTTCTTGCCGTCCCGAACAATGGGCAGGATGCAGGGCCCAGCCCGTGGACCCGGTGCCTGTATCACCTGGGGTGTGGCATACTTGGGGTCTGAGGCGAAGCTCTGGGTGGTAGGCATGGTCTTCCCAGGTGAGCTTGAAAGCCGTGGTGGCAGTGGGGAGCTGCCAGATGGCACCAAGGGACTGGGAGTCCTCGAGCCTTGAGGGGATAGGGGCTCCCGAGGCGGCACCCGGGGAGGGGAGGCAGGTCCAGGCCATCGACCCATCTCCTCCTCACCTGAGGTGGCTGGAGACAGCTCAGCGCGTGGGCGTGTGGGCCGAGGGGGAATGGGTACCCTGGGAGGCACCTGGGGCTTATCATCGCCAGCTGGGCCTGGTGAGGGGGCCAGTGGGCCACCTGGGACCTGCAGCTGGCGCATGCACTCCTGCTGCAGGGCCTGGAAGACCTCTGTGGTCTGAGCAGAGCTGGGTGGCTTACTTCCTCCCTGGGGAGGGAGGAACAGGTTATCCTCCAGGGGAGGGGGCAGCCGTGCCTGCTCAGGCACAAAGGCATAATTGGTCTCGCCATGGCACAGCCCAGTGGAGACCCCTGCACCCACTAGGGTGCTGTTGATAGAGCAGACCTCAAAGTCATCTTCATCCTGGGCCACATCATCATAGGCAGGGGGTGGGGGCAGCGGGCGTGCATCCCAATCCACCACAGGCGTGGGGTGCAGGGGTCGAGGCAGTGCCCGTGTGGGACTCTGTGGAGGGGTCTTGTCCAGCAAGGAGCAGGCGTCCATGGCCAGCTGTGCCAGGGAGGGCGCACAGGGCCGTGGAGCTGGGACCACAGGATCTTCACCAAAGTCGATGAGGGTCACCTCAGCCCCGCTGCTGCGGCCTGACTTGGTACCCGGCACTCGGGCTGAGGGCTTCACTAGCCACAGCCCTCGGGGCAGACCTGGCTTCCGCAGGCCCAGCCTCTTAAAGTCGCTGAACAGGGAGTCTTGGTCCTCACTCACAGGGTCATAGGTTGGTTCTGTGTTGGAAAGGGAGACCCCAATAGAGTCAGGCAGGGGCATAGGGCGGTGAGATGTGGGAAAGAGGCCAATATACCCAGTAATTCTCCATGGCCAATTCCCCTAGAGGTCAGCCCTGGGCTGTCAGCATTCTCAGGGCACACCGACTCTGCTCACTATCAGCCCTTCATGTGGGCTGGTGAACCCTCTGCCTCCACCTGAGCTACAGCAAGCAGCACCCCACTCTGCCTGTTTGCACCAACACAAGAGCCCATATAATCCTCCTGGGCCCTGGTTAGTAAATCCCTCTCCACCCCATTACCACACACCATTAGTGCAGGCATGGGGCAGACTCCCACCATCAAGGGACCCGGGAGTCATCCTTGGAGGAGAAAGGGCTCCAGACCAACCACCATGAAAGGCCAGCCTCAGCTCTGCAGGTCAAAAAAGGATTGAGACAAGGCCAAGTAGTGGCAGAGAGAGGTCAAGACAGGTGCCAAAACTACGTCTGGTCCAGAGCCCAGGCACCCTGGGCATAGTGGGGGAAGAGAGGCTTAATATGCAAGATAAGCAAAAAAAAGCTCACAGCACACACCGCGTCCCCTCCTGCCCAGCCACCACCCAGCCACCCTGCAGGCTCTGTACCTTCCAGGAGAGGAGTGAGAGAAGAGAGGGGGTGGGGGCGGGGGCCAAGGCACCAAGAGCAGCCCCACTTACTCTGAGTGAAGATGGCAGGCTGAGGTGGGCGAGGTGGAGGCTCCCCTGCAAGAAAGGCCATGCGGAGAAGAAAGGGACAAAGCAGGGCAGAGGACAAAGGAGAGAACAGAGCCAGACAAGAGGTCGGAGTTTGGAGAGAGAGAGAGAAAGAGAAGTGAATAGAGGCAAGGGAAGGGACAAACTGAATAGCAAATGCGCGGCAATGGGGGCAGGAAGGGAAACTGTGTTCTGGAACAGGGCATAGGATCCGGAAGATGGATGAGGCTCCTGGCTGAGACGGAGCCTGTGGGGTGGTTTTGGCTTGGGATCGAACAGGATTAGGGGAACTGAGGAAAGGCAGGACCTGAGCACGGCCAGTGGGGAAGGAGGAAGGAGGGAAGCTGTGGCAGGCGGGGCTGGCGCTGGACCCGTCTAAGGATGCCCACCTCGGCGGATACAGCCGCCTGCAGTCTTCCACCCCACGCCCAGCTGGAGCCAGGGACACAGCTGTTCTGCCTGCTGCCCTGTCTCAACTGTCCCCAGATCAGCAGGCTCAGAATGGACTGAGCACACAGTGCCCCCTCCTGGGGAGCCAATGAAAAGGGATGCCAAGGAGCGGGAGGGCTCTTACTTTTCACCCTTCCCAGATGCTGAGTGGGTTGGGAGGTGCTCAGTTCCACACTTAGCAGGTCAGGAGGGTCCATGGGGTTTCCCAAATACAGCCTGTGGGGAGAGAGCCAGGTCAGATGAGAGGGGAAGTAAGTAGGGAGGGGAGGCAGTGAGATCACCTCTGACAGAAATGTTGGGCCCATCCCCTGAGGTCAGGCAGAAAATAAAACCCAAGGCGACCATCTCATCAAAGCCCCTTCATCCTGGAAGAAGCTGGATGGGGGGCTTGGGTCTGGAGTATAAGATTCTACAAACAGTAGAGTCTGTAGATCCTGATGTCTCTTCCACAGACCAGGTTGTACCAGAGAAGAATATCTTGGAGAGCTGAAAACTCTAGGACTACAGAGTCTCCCACAACACCCTCCAACTCCATGGCACCCCACCCCCACCAGTCAGCCACCTGCAGTCATGTTCTCCTGTCATCCCCAATGGCAGAGCCTAGGAACAGAGGCATCAGGGCTACAGTTGCCCAGCCGGGGGGGGGCAGGAGGAAGAAGGGGGGAAGAGAATGGCCCACCTGCCCTGCTCCCGACTCACTCTCAGCCCCTGTGCCAACTGTCAGTATCTGGAACTTAGTCACTGAGGCTGATTAAAGCCCAGAGGAATGAGGCTGGGCTGGCCGTGGCATGCCAGGAGTAGGGCAGAGGGCGCTGCCCCTCCTGGAGGTGTCTGCTCTCTCTCTCAGGCCCTTGCCTGGTTCTTGTGAGGCTAGACACATTACTCCTCCCAACTTAGGGTTCTGGAGTATAATACATAGAGCGTTGAAGGCACTGATTACCACACCTCCCAGGGAGAAAGGGCTGCAGAGATCAAAGGCCTGGAATCCCCCTGCAGCCAGCAGAGGTCTGGAGGCCTGCCACCAAGTTGTTACCAGGGGGCTCCCTGGGGTGGGGCACCCAAAAAAGTGACTAATTCTTCTCTATGTCTTCCCCAGGTGCCCTCAATGGCCTTGTCCTTTTACTTAAAGGAGACTACAAGCCCCTCTCAGCCAGATATACAGTGAGCTCCACAGAGTAATGTGCAGGTGCAGGATGGGGGGCAGTGCCTGAGCTGCCACCTAACATCACCTCTGAAGTTCCCTGCAGGCTTCGAGTCCTGCTCCCTGGTTCGGAGAAGCAAGTTCACTCCCATCTGGGCCAGCAGGCTCACACGGCCTGGACTCTGGCATCACCAGCAGGTGAAGAAAAACTGCTAGTCAAATGCCTCAAATGCAGTGGTCATAAGAGACACTATCCTACTCAACTGTTTCTCGGTTCCTAACCATTCTCCTAAGGCCAGCATGCCAAGAGGGGTTATGGCTTTGGTCCCAGAGGCCTCTCCACCAAGTGGCAGGGGAGGGAGATCAAGAGGGAAGACCGGCAGGGTAGGGGCTGGAGACCCAGAGAAAGGGCAAGGAGCACTAAGAACTCACACAGGGAACAGAGAGGGGCTGCAGGCCTTGAAGCCTCAGTGGGGATCAGTGGCCCTGCCCAGGTACTCACTCATCGATCCTGTCCGGGAAGCCCCAGCAGTGGCGGGGGTCACTGTCGCCATGCCCTGTGTGGATGAAGCTATTCTGCAAGGGCTGGCTAATGTCCTGGGCTGACAAGCCAGCTACAGAAGTCACCACGTTGCGAGGGAAGGGCCCCACACACAGCGTCCGCGTGTTCTGCCCACGCCACCAGTAGTTCTCAGCCCTGCCCGACAGAGATGACACAGTGAGCACCAAGCATAGTAGAATGGCCCAGGCACTGGGACCCTTCTCATACCCTGGACACTTTGGCAGTCCTCAGGGGTCTGCTATCAGCCCACCTTCCCCAAACCCCCATATAGGCCTGGCTGTTTGCATATAGCCTTACCCTAAGCTCACTTAGGTGGGTCAGGCAGCTTTTCCTAGAGTTTACAAATAAGAAAGCAGGTTCTAACAAGTGACATCACTTGCCAGATTACCAGAAAGATCACAGCAGACTCAGGACTCAAGGCCCCTTGTTACATCTGCAAGGCTAGCACCTGTCCCAAGACCACCTTGCCTCCTGCCCCCACCCCCCATAGCAAAGCCTGGCCCCAGTCTCTTCTGGCTACTTAATTTCACTCATCAGCCAGGTTCTGAGAGTTTTAAGAGCTGCAAGGGCCCCAGAGAGTACCACAAGCTTTAGCACTGGGATTTGGGCCAAGCCCTCCAACTATACCCTTTCTCCCTTACACAGAACTTCAAGGGTCTAGAAGCATTCAGGGCAACCTGAGCCTCCTCTTTACCACTCTGCATGTCTCTGGTGCCTTCCATCACCCCTGGCAGGCCTATGGGAGCCTTACCCCTGCTACCTTAACTGCCTCTTCAAGAGGAGCTCTATCTGGTCTTAAGACAAGGTGTCCAGGAGGGAACGCAGTACTCCCAGACTGACCAGACCATAGGGCCATCAGGCCTTCACTCTGACCTCAGACGCAAAACCCAAGCCGGACCTGGGATGGGGCTGAGAAAGAACAAACCTCTCCTCTGGATACTTCTAGTGCCTGAAAAAGCTCTGACAGGTCCTGAGGCTCCTGCATCTGCTGCTAGAATTGCTCATACCTCATGGCACAGGGAGAATCTGGACTCAGCAGAGGCAGTGACAGCCCCATGTTCGTAGAGTAGGCACATGTGGCACCAAGCTGCCTGCCCTCCCTGTCAACCCCACGCCTTCACCTGCCCCAAAGCCAGGAACGTAAAGAAGGACCCTCAAAACACAGCAGACCAGAGAGGTTTGAGGAGAGAGGATGGGATAGGCAGCAGCCAGGCCTGGGCACTTGGACCCGCTGCTCTTGAGGTGACAAGGCCTGGCTGGAATGAGACCTCAACAACAGCCTGTCCCAGGGACCAAAGGTCAAACCCCACAAGCACAGCAGTCCCCAGGGAGGTGAGAGGTAGGACTGCCTATAGCCCAGCCTCCTCATAAACAAGGCCACCCAGCCCAGTCCCATGCCACACAGAGCAACCCTGTGATTACTACCCTGCCTTCAGGGCGGGAAGGAAGAAGAGAGGACAACACCCCAAGAAGGGACAAAGCCCATCCAAAAATAGCAAGGCCATTCCAAGGAAGAAAGAAATGTCTCCTCACCACACAGCCTCCTGTGCCAGTCCATGGGAGAGAGGGCCCAGCACCGGAGCCCCTGGCCACTGCTTGCCCCCAACACCTGCTGGCTCCCTGCTGGCTCTCACCACCCTGGACAGATGCTGGACTCTGCTCTCTACCCTTCCTCAGAGGTGCTTATTAACCTGGGTGAGAACTGCAGATGGGTGGAGATGTACTTCAGAGCAGAGTGGACTCATGCCTAAGGCCAGGTCCAGCAGGAGGCCACTCCCTCTACCCCTTTCCTTTTGCCAAGATAGCCCAGCTCCTCACACAGAAGCCTCCTTTGGACCCAAGCCTGAGGGTGAAAAGGGAGAGCAAGGCCACCTCCCCTTATTACAGGCATAACCAAGACAAGAGCCCCCATGGCTGCTGGGGGTCCTGACATGTTTCAAAAACATGTTTGCTAGTAGGTGAGGAGGAGCTGGAGTGCAGCACATGTAAGGACAGCCCCTCGGGACTGCACCCTGGTGCACTCAGAAGCATCATTCTCTCCTGACGAGGCTCAAACAGAACATCCAAAACAGTTGACGCTTCATCTCACAGCCCATATATCCTGCTCTGAGGCTCAGGGCCAAGGTGCCAGCAGCCCAAAAAGGAGAGAGACTGACCCTTCCCACCCAGCCTGCTCTGGCCACACCTTCTCCTTCCTCCATGAACTGGCCAGAGTGTCCACAACAATGGGAGGGCCAGGTTTGCCATTCACAGTGAGTGAAGCACAGACAGACGGTGAGTTAGGGGAGGGGGGGCTAAGAAAAGGGTCCAGTACTTCCAGCATGACTCTACTTCCTACTGCCCAGCAGCCTTCTGTCAGCATCCCTGGGGCATGCAAGATGGAAAACCAAGGCCTAAGTTAGAACTGCCTAAGGCTGTCCCACCTGTGGAAATCTTAGCACCTTGCTCCAGTCCTGGCTCAAGGCAGTCTAGAAATGGCAGAACAAACAATGGGTAAACATTCTGCTCCAAACACCTGCCCCTACCTTCTCTCTGGGTGGGGATAACCCAGACCCTGTTTCCCTTCTCTCTGACCTACCACAGGAAGCAGCAGCTCCAGGGCCACACCAGGCCCTGCAAACGGATTTCAAAACTTGCCCTTTACCAGTTCTGTATATAGAACAAAAGTGCTGCCAGGCACCCCGCCCTTCCGATAAGACCCTCTGGGAAAGACCAGGCACTATGCGTCTCTCTGCATCTAGACAAGGCCTCCTAAGCTTGGCTTACAATAGCTACTAGGTGCCTTCTCTCTGCCCACTACTTGGTACCCTGAGAAGCACTGAGACTACAGACTCAGTCAGAGTTGGGGCAAGTGGCTTTCCAGACTCCAGACTAGGAAACAGACACTGGAACAGCTTCAGTCAGCGGGATGCAAGGCTAATATAAAAGTATGGATAAAGAAGGAGCCAAGAGCCAGGCAGGAACCGACAGAGCTCACACGCACAAACCCAGGCACACAACAGAACCCGTCCACCCAGAGACATGGAAACAGAGTCCACCAAACAAACACAGAGATATTCAGGGACTGACAAAATAAGGGGGCAGAGTCAAAGCTCTGTCTCTACCAGGGCCCACTCCCAAAGCCTCACCGGCTGTCGTGGCCTCCTGCCTCTCACCTCCCACCTCCTGAACAGCTCCAGGGACCCAGGGCAGGCACTGTGGTCCAAGTCAGGGCTGGTGGCCCACAGGAGCCCAGCCAGCACAAGCAGTGACAGTGACAGCAGCAGATCCAGCCACTGGGGCCAACCAGAGCCTGTGGCGGAAGGGCAGGGCAGGCGCACTCACAACCGTCCCTGGAGGAGCCGCTCCCTGGGCCCTTCCCACAGCATGCTTTGCTCCAATGGTGACCTCAGGTGCCAGTTCTAAAGACACATGCCCCAGAAACACAGCAGGCTGAGTCACCCTTGGGGAACACTGGCTGGCAGATGGGTTCCTACTGAGAGCAAGAGAAGTAGGGTGAAGACCAAGGAGACTGCAGGTGGCACACAAGAGGGATCAGGTCCAAGCTCTCTGGCTCCCTGAGGTAGGAAAAGTCGTAGGCCCAGAATTCTGATTTAAGGCGCTGCCAGGTACCTCCAGGAGAGCCCCTACCCTTAATTCTCCTCCTCATAGAATGCTCCTGAATGCCACACCTACAATCCCTTCCCTGGCCCCTTAGCTCCAAATCTACAGAAGGTGTTCCTTCCTGTCTCCCACTTCTCTTGATTCTAAAGGTCTTCTGCTTTCTTCCACCATCACCAACGCCCCAACCATAGTTGACCCCTGCAACCTATTACTATGTAATTCTTGTTCACAGATCCTGGGGCCAAAGGCAAGGGAAAGGTGTTGGAGCCATAGCAGCAAAGGTCTCCTTGCTACACAGCCAGCCTGGGTTCCAGGCCTGCTCTATCATCAACTCAGACCCAGTAGCTCTCTCCTCTCACCCACTCCACCATGAGGCACGAGATTTAACCATAAGCTGCAGACCCCAAGCTATGCCCAATCCTTGCCAGAGTGGGCAGCATAGGGAATTCCTTCTGCTTCACTATTCCTCTTCCTCTACACTCACCCCCTGCCCCAAAGGCACTTGAAGCCTACCCTGCCCCAGCCAGTTCCTCAGACACGCTGAGGATCAGATAACAGCAGGTGGGGCCAACAGTGGGTGGGGCCTCCAAGGGCGGAAGCTAGCACTTGGGGCTGCAGGTAAAGGACAGTGACTCAGTAGGGCCTGGGGTGGGAGCAGAAACAGAGAGGGTCCTACAAGGGGAGACTAGCAGGGGAGCAAAAGTGGGGACCTAAGCAGAGGATGGAGGAAGGCCCTAGAAGGGAAGAGTGGGGCTTAGTGGGAAGAAGGGACAGCTGAGAGAGGGTGAAGCCCAGGCAGTGGAGAGGCTGCTTGGGACACTGAATGGCACCAGATGGACAGTCAAGAGTTCCTATGCCGAGAAGAGGCAGGGAGGGTAGTGGGGGACTTAGAGGAGGAATGTTTGGAGTTCCAGAGCTCTGCTGTAGCCCTGAGGTCAGCAGCCTGGCCCCATCCACAAAGCCAGGGCTGGAGCCCAGAGGAAAAGGATGACAGAGGGGAAGCTTGGCAGGGAAGAGCCCATCTCAGCAGGAGCATCTGTGTCCTCAGCCCTACAGAACTCAAGAGTCTGACAGGGGCCTGTCTTTCCTCCTCACACTGCAGTGCTCAGGCCCAACTCCCAGCTGTGTGTGGCCACAGGAATCTGGAGGCAAGAGATCTCTGTCCACATGGCCCTCCAATCTGTGCTCTTCCAAGTATCCCCTACCTTCCCTCAATGACAGTGATGACATCGTTCATCTGGATGTGCAGCTTGTCTGGTTCCTCGAAGTCCTGAAGGGCCCGCATGTCTGTGGGTTGGGCCTGGGGGCAGAAACAGTTCATTGCACCCAGGACTGACCTCTGAACAGCCCCTTGCTTGGACATCCCAGCTCCTGTGGGCAGACCTGCCCCTCACCTCCAGCAGGAAGTCTCGCAGGGCCACAAATGTGGGTCTGTCCTCTGGCTTGTGAGCCCAGCACTGGACCATAACATTGTAGATGTCCTGGGGGCAGTCCTCGGGCCGGGGCAGCCGCTCCCCTTCCTTGTCAATCTTATGCAAGATCTGAAGTGAGGTGGAGAGCAGTGCCGAGTTTGGGGACCAGCACAGCACTCAGCTCTTCACTTCCCACCTTCCCTCCAGCCCACAGCTGAAGCTGCTGGCCACAGTGCCATTCCTCCAAAGGAAAGATCTGCCTGCCAAGGAGGGGCCTGCTCCTGGCCTCTGACCCTTCTTCCTAGGTCTGGGGCCTCAGAATGTATAGACATGGCAAGGACTAGGAAACCAGGGCAGCCCCCGCTCTTCTCTCCCCGGCCCACTGGCACAGCCCCTTCTGTTTGCTTAGCTCTCCCTAAGAGGCCAGACAGACATGGGGTACAGGGGGGAAAGGGGACCTGATGAAAGCCAGTTCCAACAAGGTCAGGGTAGGAGCCAGGGATCAAATTAACACCCCCCCAAAGCACATCTCCCAGGCCTCTCACCTGACTGCCATTGAGGCCAATCCAGGGCTCCTGGCCATAGGTGAACATCTCCCACAGTGTGACCCCAAACATCCAGGTGTCGCTGGCATGGGAGAAGGTTCGTGTCTTTAGGCTCTCGGGGGCACACCTGGAAGAGGGAGGGGTCAAAGAGAAGGCCCCGTGAGCACTCACACATGCAACAGCCCCGATGGACATAAAATACTCATTCAACAAGCATTTGTGGCTGCCACATATGCCAGGCTCAACAGGTACCAGAGACAGAGTATGAAGTGGATAGGGAGGGGCGGGACTTCTTGACTACACAATGGACAGAAGTGGAAAAAAATCACCTATGCTCAGGTCTCACTCACAGGCAGCCTAGGGTGGGAGGAGCAGAGTGATATTTCCCAGTTAGGAAAGAGGTCAGAGGCTCCACGAGGGGGCAGGCAATCCAGTACAGGCTGTCTGCTAACTGCTAGGAGGATGACTACCAGATTTGGAGCAGGATCCTCAAATTTAGGTCCTTTCAGATAGAAGGTGTGGGTGGGAAATTTGGACAGGACCTGGGGAAAAACCAAAATGGGTACAGTCACACTGGCTTTACCCCAAATATACCCACACTTCTCCCTGGGCCTCCATCCTGGGTGAGGGAGAAGTGCCACTGCAGAGGGCTAGAAAAGGGGCATTCCAGCATGGACTAGGGTACAAAGAGAGGGGGACAGGACCCTGGATGTGGAATCAAGAATCTCTTGTGGGACTCAAGAGCTGGTACTGCAGCTCAAAGGGGCTAGGACCCAGGGAAAGTCACTCAGGAGCTCTAAGCCTCACTTTGGTCATCTGCTAAATGAGAACCATTAACCTACTCACTTCACAGGGTTGCTTAAAGGGGCTATATGCAAAATGGTGACCTTATAATTTACTATCCAAACCAGGGTACTTGAATATAAAAGAGGGTGCTAAAATTACTCTAGGGCAACAGGCATAATCTAGGATCTATGATCACCATGGGAGCAACGTCAGTTACTAATTAGGGTACCACACATCCTGGATTATGAGGGGTGCCCACAGCCAGAGCTCTGGCAAGCAGAGCTGAACCAAGCCCTCCTACCTCCTACGCTCTTTTGGATGCTTCTGGTACCAGAGGACCACAGTCATCTCAGCACAGGGGCTAGCACTCCAACGAACAGGTGAGTAGCCCTGCTCAGTCTGTGAGGGCCAATGTGGTCTGACCCTGCCTACCACTAGATCTACCTAGCACATACTTCACATCCAGGCTTTGCCTGGCTAACTTCTCCTGATATCTCAGGATCTTATCATAGTATCCTCCAGGAAGCCTTCTTTTAATTTTTTTATTTTATTTTATTTATGGATACTTTTTGAGACTTTTTTTTGCAGTTTTTGGCTGGAGCTGGGTTTGAACCCGCCACCTCCGGCATATGGGGCCAGCACCCTATTCCTTTGAGCCACAGGCACCGCCCAGTTTTTTTCTATTTTTAATAGAGACAGGGTCTCACTCTTGGTCAAGCTGGTCTCAAACTCCTGAGCTCAAGCGATCCACCTGCCTTTGAGTGCTAGGATTATAGGCGTGAACCACCGTATGCAGCCAGGAAGCCTTTTGAATACCCCAGTGAGTAACAACACTGATGTACAAGTCCCCACAGCATTTCTCCCTGTGCCTTCTAGGACTGACCTGACCCTGGCACATGGGCCCTCAGGATGTCTGGGATGGATGAGCGAATGGATGGGTACCCAAGATGGGCACCTCAGGCCCAGAACAGACAAGGGCAGACCCAGGCAGGGTCAAGGGCTGCAGCAGGTACAGAAGACCCTGGAAGCGTTGAGGCCTGGGTCTGTAGGGACCAGGGTGGGGTCTAGGCCCCATTAGCCAGCAACACCTGCCCCTCACCAGGCAAAGGGCACCTTTCGATGTTCCTGCATGACGTAATGGTCATCGTTCTGGGGCAGCGCTCGCATCAGCCCAAAGTCCCCAATCTTGACTAGGTCTCGGGTAGCCAACAGGAGATTGCGGGCAGCCAGGTCACGGTGAATAAAGCGCTTGGACTCCAGGTAGCCCATGCCCTCAGCCACCTGCACAGCGTAGCGGCTCAGAGTCCCCAGGAGGAAGTGGCCCTGGTGCTTACGCAGCCGGTCCAACAACGATCCCAGCGGCGCCAGCTCTGTTACCTGAAGCCATGGAAGAGGTGAGAGGAATAGGCCTGGATGAGCCCTGCCCTTCTTAGCACCCCACACAGGGCTGCCAGTCTCTCTCCTGAAGGCCTGCCAGAGCTCACTGTGCCTCCTGGCCTGTCATCTGGGGACCTGTAAGAGTCCTCCAAGTTCTGAGGCTGCTCCCTCCAGGAAATGTGGTTAACTAAAGCCCAGAGAGAAGCAACCCAAAGAGGCAAAGCCCAGCAACTCCAAAAATTAAATGCAAGGGGGGCGGTGCCTGTGGCTCAAAGGAGTAAGGTGCCAGCCCCATATACCAAAGGTGATGGGTTCAAACCTGGCCCTGATCAAAAACTGCAAAAAAAAAAAAAAATAAAAATAAATGCAAGGGCCAGCTCCTCTCATGGGTGCAACTCTGGTAATGAGCACCAGCCATGCCCAGGGATGGATGTGGCCTCCAGAAAGTCAGTATCAAGCTAGGTCCCCGGGAGCCTCTTCACTATACTGGGAAGGGGGTATACCTGGGGGCCCAAGCCCCTGCCTCCCCACAGCACTCACCATCTTCATGGGTGGTGTGAGCACCACACCATAAAGGCGAATGAGGTTTCGGTGGTCAAGCGAGTGCATCGCATTGACCTCCCGAATGAAGTCATCCATGGCCTCTGGCTGGCTCAGCACATCGGGCTTCAGGCACTTCACAGCCACACTCACCTGCCCAGAACAGGATTTGCAAAGAGTCAGGACTTGTCTAGCCTCCAACAGCCAGAACAGAGAGAACTTTCTCCTCCTTCCAGCTCAGCTCAAAGAACCCGGCCTCAGATCTGCTTATCTGGGTGGGTGAGCATGTTGCCAATGCCTGGGCATATTCTGCATGTGGCATAATTAGGAAAGGAGAGCTGGCTGGCTTCTGGGGGTCATCAGCAAGGCCTCCCCTTTTTGGGGAAGTTCCCAGATTAAACAGCAATCATAGAATATGACTAATATGATGACAAAAATATTAAAATGTTACTAATAAAATAAAATATCCAAAGTGGTTTTGGGGTGGCGCCTGTGGCTCAAAGGAGTAGGGCGCGGGCCCCATATACCGAGAGTGGTGGGCTCAAACCCGGCCCCGGCCAAACTGCAACAACCAAAAATAAATAAATAAATAAAAATAAAAAATAAAAGTGCTTGTGGCATAAAAGGAAAATGCCACATATTTGGTATTAAATATAATACCAAAAAATTAATCTATGGCTCAAGAAGTTAGAATAGTGGCTCCTCTTGGAAGAGAGGAGATACTGAGAGGAAGAGGCATGAGGGGAACCTTCTGCAGTGCCAGAAATGCGTCACACACAATCTGGTCTGATCATGGGTCTGTGCAAAATATAAAATGTCACTTAAAAACTGTATGTTTGGCTCAGCGCCTGTGGCTCAAGTGGCTAAGGCACTAGCCACATACACCTAAGGTCACCCAGGGTGACATAATGAGACTCTGTCTCAAAAAAAAAAATCAAATGCTTTAGGCAGCACACTGGCTGAGCTGAGCTCAGGAGTTGAAGATCAGCCTGAGCAAGAGTAAAACCTCGGGCTGGGCATGGTGGCTCACACCTGTACTCCTAGCACTCTGGAGGCCGAGGTGCGTGGATTGCCTGAGCTCACAGGCTCGAGACCAGGCTGAACAAGAGCAAGACCATTTCTCTAAAAATCGCCAAGCGCCTGTAGTCTCAGATACTCAGGAGGCTGAGGCAAGAGAATTGCTTGAGCCCAAGAGTTTGAGGTTGCTGTGAGCTATGACACCATGGCACTCCAGCAAGGGCTACAAAGTGAGACTCTGTCTTAAAAAAAAAAAAAAAAAGGCTCGGTACCTGTGGCTTGGGTGGCTAGGGCGCCAGCCACATACACCTAAGGTGGCGGGTCCGAGTCCAGCCCGGGCCCGCCAAACAACAATGATGGCTGCAACCAAAAAATAGCCGGGCGTTATGGCAGGCACCTGTGGTCCCAGCTACTTGGGAGGCTGGGGCAGGAGACTCGTTTGAGCCCAGGAGTTGGAGGTTGCTGTGAGCTGTGAGGCTACAGCACTCTATCCAGGGGGATAGCTTGAGGCTCTGTCTCAAAAAAAAAAAAAGAGACCTGGTCTCTACTAAAAATAGGAAAACCAACTGGGAGTTGTGGCGGATGCCTATAGTCCCAGTTACTCAGGAGGCTGAGGCAGGAGGATAGCTTGAGCCCAGGAGTTTGAGGTTGCTGTGAGCTATGATGCCACAGCACCCTACCCAGGACATAGAGTGAGACTCTGTCTCAAAAAAAAATTTGTATGCTTTAGTGTATGGGGAACCCTGGATTAGGAACAAGATAGGTGCTATAGGTTTGTTCTTAAGTTGAATCTGTGCATAGTTAGAACAGGTACATTTACCTATTACCTGTAATAGGCCCCATTCATATGAGTTCTGTATCAGTCAAGATATTTGTAACTCAGGGGCTTACTCTACTAGCCTCCTTTAGTAAGTGCTAGCTGTATGTAAATCAGATGTTTCTAACTTGGGAACTGCCTATATGTATATTATCCCTCAAGAAAAATTTCAAAAAGAAAAAAGAAAAATTTCAAAAAGAAAAGACAAGTTTTAAAAGTTTATCCAAAATTGGAATTTTAACTAAATCAAATAAAATACTGGGGGAGGGGAGGCAGAAATGCTAACTCTGCTCCCTCTGAAGAGTGGAATTACAGGCACTTTTCTTCTGGTTTTTCAACTAGTTTCCAAACTTTTAGGATAGGTAAATTATTTTACAATCAAAAAAAGAAACAAATTACTTAGTTAAACCTGAGCATGTACTGTTGGGTGAGCTACTCTGTGACCTGTCCCCCATTCACATCCCAGCAGAAGGGGAAAAAGAGCCCCTCCCAGGCTCAGGCTGGCCCTTTGCTGTGCCTGTGGCGACAGAGCGCTCACCGTCTTTCCCGAGGGGGCATCCCACTCGCCCCTGCGCACCACGCCAAAGGAGCCATCTCCCAGCTTCTCCAAGAGGCGCAGGTCCTTCTCCCCGATAAGGCAGGTGAGGCTCTGCAGAGGCCCTTCCCCTGCTGGGCCCCCCGGGGTGGGTGAGGTTTTCCGGAAGGTGCTCTGAGAGTGATGGGGGGGGAACTCAGCTTCTAGCCGCTTTCCGCTGAACACCTGTTTGAAGGCAGCCAGCGGCCAGATGGAACCCAAGACTGCACAGCCAGTTGCTCATCCCACCCCACTGGTGGTCCTGTGTCAGCCTCCAGATAGTCCTGGCTTCGCCAAACTGCAAGGTGCAGCAGCCAGGCTGGAGGCCCACACTCCCTCCAGAGCACACCCCCAAACAGGCACCTCAGAGTATCCTCATGGTGGGTACCAGAAACAGACAGGCATGCAGCCTGTGGCTGCTGTGGCCCCATACTCAGCTGTGGGGAAAAGGACAGTCCAAAGCCCTCAGGCACCACCCACTGGGAGCTGAGTCTCCTCCCATTCCTCCTGTCCAGCCCCTTTCCTGCACCCCATGCCCAGCACAGACTCCAGCCCCTAAACCGTGGAGAAGGGGACAGAGCCTAAGGGGCCCTCTGCAAACACCTCCTTATCCATTTTTAGCCCTGGCCCCTTCTCTGGGCTGACCATTTGGTGCTGTCTGTCTCCACCCTCCCCAGGGAGTCGGCTGCCCTTCATCCTGCCCAGGGGAGAGGATAATTTTAGTCTGAGGTTGAACCATGAGAGAGTGTGTGTGGTTCAGATGAAGCTAGAGGAAGGATTGGGGAAGCCAGCTGGGTTTCTGAAGGGGTGCCTAGAGCTGAGGGCTGAGGAAGAAGATTAGAGGGGACTCTGAGGCCTGGGCTAGAAAGGAAAGGGGCCAAAGGTCAAGGGACAGGAGAAAGGAGGCTGTGAGGGTCAGAGCAGGCCACATTCCAACTGGGCTACCTCCACTGAGGCATTCAAAGCTTTGGATTTAGTCTACAGATTTCCCATGTCAGGTCCCCCACTCCCCAAAGCTGGTGGAGTCTTATCTGTATGCGCCAAGGGCACCTCAAATCTGAGGGCCTCTCCGGCCTCTGTTCTGCTCTTCTTCCCTTTCTGTACCTGAAATTCTTTGCCACATTCACACTCGTGTTACAAGGCCCTTCACAGCCATCATCTTGGGGCCCCTCACCAGCCCTGTGAAGTGTGCTGGGCAATGGGGCCACACCGGCTCATTGAAGACACCACTGAAGTCCGGAGAGAAATACTGACTGCCCCTTAGCACAGAAACCAGTGGCAAATCCAAGACCCCTGAATCCTGGCATACCACACTGTCCTTCTTTCCTGCCTTCACCGGCCCCATCACACTTATCCTTCTCTAAAACCTGGGCAAGGGACCAGGACAGTATTCCCAGAAAAGGCCAAAGAATCCCAAGAGACAGCCCTTTTGCCAGACTACAGCCAGAAAAATCTCTGCTGCCCAATCCCAGCCCAGCTGTTCTAACCTGCCCACCCCTCACCCCAGACCAGACGCCAGAAGTGGGGTGGGAAGGCCCTGGCTGGCTCACTTCCTCTCTCATTGTCTTCTAGACAATGGGCAAAGTTCCACTGAGTCAGCTCAGGGACTCACTACACCACAATCCCAAATTAGGGCAAGGTGTTAGGTTGGGGGCAGGCTGGGGAAGGAAGCTGTCAGAAGGACCAGAGACACCTAGAGACCAGAGAGGATGGGGGAGGAGGGAAGCAAAGCAAGGATGTTCTGGGTCCAGACAGTCCCCACCACCCCATGTTGGACACTGGCCCCCAACATGCAGACAGAGCAAGGCTAAGTTAAGGCGCACTTGTCAACAAGCTCCTATTGCAGGAGCGCCAGGAGGGACGGTGAAGACCTATTACACACAGATGGCTCACGTGTCCATCTCTGGCGGAGACAGACACTCAGCTGGGCAGCTCAACAAGTGCCCTGCCTGATAAGACCCCGGAGGAGTGAGGTCTGAACAAAGTGCCAGGGAACGTGGTGAGATTACACCTGCCTAGTGATGAGGGGAAGGCTCCCAGGACCCAATAGCACCCACCTTGCTCATCCACGACTTGCGTTTGCACATGGCCTTCCTCCTCTTCACAGCCTCCCACAGCCGCCGTTGGCCTGCGGGGAGCCAAGGAGAACACAGCACTGTTAAGCTGGCTCACAACCCAAAGAGGCTCCTGCTTGCCCCATGGGCTTCCTTCGTATCCCTGGGGTGGGTCCACCACTAGCCACTGCCCAGCACGATGGTAACAGTGTAATCAACCTCGACTAACCAGGAGCCTCAACTGACCAGATGGTTCCCACCAATTGATAGTAGCATTCTCCCAGCTCTCAGAAAAAAAAAAAAAAAAAAAAAAATCAAAGTAGTAGATAATAATTTTTTCAACTTCCAGTTTTTTCTCCATAGAACCCTTATGTTACTGGCATCAGACGCCAACTATCCAGGTCAAAAGTAGCATAAGTCAGTATTTAATTTAGCACATTATTACCTATTTAGCTATTTTAAGTTAAATGCACTAAGTGTCTAATGTTCTATGAGGAACACCATGACTTTGGCTAGGCTCAGTGGCTCATGCCAATCCTAGCACTCTGGGAGGCCAAGGCTGCTTGAGCTCAGAAGTTCAAGACCAGCCTGAGCAAGAATGAGACCCTGTCCCTACTAAAAATAAAAATAGAAAAATGAGCAGGGCATTGTGGTGGGTGCCTATAGTCTCAGCTACTCAGAGGCTAAAGCAAGAAGATCGCTTAAGGGCACAGCACCTGTGGCTCAGTGAGTAGGGCGCTGGCGCCATATACAGAGGGTGGTGAGTTTGAACCCCGCCTCAGCCAAACTGCAACAAAAAAATGGTCGGGCGTTGTGGTGAGCACCTGTAATCCCAGCTACTCAGGAGGCTGAGGCAAGAGACTTGCCTAAGCCCAAGAGCTGGAGGTTGCTGTGAGCCATGATGCCACAGTACTCTACTGAGGGCGACAAAGTGAGAGAGACTGTCTCTAAAAAAAAGAAGATAACTTGAACCGAGAAGTCTGAAGTTGCTGTGAGCTAGGCTGACACCATGGCACTCTAGCCTGGGACAATAGAGACTTTGAGGGGGGGAAAAAAAAAAGAACACTATGATTTCCAGATGCTACAACCACTACTTTTAGGATAAACACCAAGATAAGAAATGGGCTCTGTGCCTGTAGCTCAAGCGGCTAAGGGGCCAGCCACATACACCAGTGCTGGTGGGTTTGAATCCAGCCCAGGGGCCTGCGAAACAACAATGACAACCTCAACCAAAAAATAGCTGGGCATTGTGGCACACGCCTCTAGTCCCAGCTACTTGGGAGGCTAAGGCAAGAGAATCGCTTAAGCTCAGGAGTTGGAGGTTGCTGTGAGCTGTGACACCACAGCACTCTACCCAGGGCGACAGCTTGAGGCTCTGTCCCAAATAATAATAAAAAAAAAAAAAAGATAAGAAATGAATTCAATTTAGAGCAAATCTTCTCTGTGTGTGCTCGCACACGCATGTGAGAGAGACAAAGAAAAAGTTAGCAAATCATCTGATTTTTATCTTTCTTCTGTCTCTGGATCTCTGGACATTGATGTTCCTGGTGTTCAGAATAGTGATCAGAAGAGACTTGATTTTATGCTTTATAAAAGAGGGAGAGATCGAGGAAATACATCCCCCAAAAGTCTAATCAAGGGCAGTACCTGTGGCTCAAAGGAGCAGGGCGCTGGCCTCATATGCCAGAAGTGGCAGGTTCAAACCCAGCCCCGGCCAAAAACTGCAAAAAAAGTCTAATCGAACAAAAAGGGTATGCAGTAAGTCCTGAGCAGCCAGAGCTTTACGTAAGGCTTCATTTTCCTCAAACTGATTCACCTTTGCAACTGCCAACTTCTGTGTGCAGCATCTACTGATGTCCCCGCTGCCCCACCTCGGGGGCTCTGGGACAAGCAGACAGAGCTCTCAGCTGCTATCCGTGGAATAAAAGGCAGGGGGCTTCCACATGCTTGGGGGTCCTGAGGATTGAGACTGGAAATGGTCACAAGGATAAAGACAAGCAAGGCCAAGGTCCCACCTACCAGGCCGGCCCATGCCAATCTTCTCCAGGTCCTCATTCTTGACATACTCAAAGTGGGACAGGCGGGTAACATTGAGGTCATCACGGAGCCGTAGGAAGTACTGTTGTAGCTGTACCTCGGACAACAGCTCCAGCAGCCAGCCTGTGCCCTCCTCGGGCTGCATGCTGCTGCTGCCCAGCCTCTGCAGGGAGGGAAAAATGGCTCAGGGATCAGGGATGCCCCTGAGTGCCAGTGTTTCCCCACCTCCTACTAGATCACTGCCTGGAAGGACTCAAACCACCTTGATGCTCCAAAAAAACAGCTGTACAGAACAGCCTGTACCTGCTTTCCCATTCCTGCCAGCCACAAGAATAGAATCAGGGCAGCTAGGATACAACCCTAGCCCTAAAGTCAGGAATCAGGGTCTCGCACCTAAAATCTGCAGCCCAATGGCTTGAAGTTTCCAGGGGTCATAGCCCTTTGAAAATCTGATAAAAACAATTGTCTCTCCATGAAAAGAGCCACATTCTTAGTCCTAAAGTCTTAATGTTTTAGGGGTACTGTGCCCCTTACACCCACCTAGAGGCTCCTCACATCTGACAGACCCCACAGAAAGACTCTGGGACCAAATGAGCTCTAAGCTAAGTTCCTTCCAAAGGTCGACATCACCACAGCCTCTTCCATAGGTCCAAAGACAACTCCACAGCCACCACCCAAGCACCTACAGGGCCACATCAAGTCTAAGAGAGAAGGGTAAGGACTAGAATAGGCTTTTAGACACCCCAGTCACTGAGTTCTCTTCCTGTCAATGCCTCTCACAAGAGACTGGCACAGTATTGTCAAAGCTTCCAAGTCTTTTAAGAAATACCAGAAATCTGAATTTATATGTGAAATCTTGCCATTGACATTTTTTTGGAAAGGTAAGAAAATCCACCAAGATACACAGGGACCATGAAGTCTCATTCCTTCCCCTACTGTCCAGCCTCCTAGCTCCTGTCCCTGAAGCCAGCTGCCAATAATGTCTTTCACATACCCTTTCAGGTTTTGTTTTTTTCCTCCACACAACAGTATCACAATATCCATACCATTCTGTTCCTATTTTGGGGGTTTTTTTTTGAGACATAGTCTCAGTTTATCACCCTTGGTAGAGGGCCGTGGCATCATAGCTCACAGCAACCTCAAACTCTTGGGCTCAAGTTAATTCTCTTGCCTCAGCCTCCCAAGTAGCTGGGACTACAGGTGCCCACCAGAATGCCTGGCTATTTTTAGAGATGGGGGTCTTGCTCTTGCTCAGGCTGGTCTCAAACTTGTTAGCTCAAGCAATCTACCTGCCTTGGCCTCCCAGAGTGCTAGGATTATAGATGTGAGCCACTGCATCCAGCCTCCTTATTTTCACTTAACATTCTTTCTCCCGACTCTAACCCTGTCCATTGTTTGTTCGACTCTGAAATGACAAACACCACGTAGTGCCAGCCAAAAATACATCTGCAAGCCACAATCAGCCAATGGGTATGAGTGAGTGACCTCTGATCTATATTCTGTTGGGCCCAAAGAAAGAGATTGGTGGCACCTCCAAAACTAAGTAGACGGAAACAAAACCCTGTCCAAGTAAGAGTTGAGGGCTTGGCCAGACCACACCCACCCCTGACCCATGCTCAATCCCCATGAGACAGGCAGGCAAGAGGGAAAAGGCCAGCTGCCTGGCTAGGGGCCAAGTGATGTGCCCCCACCTTTGCCCATCTCCAAGGTGGTCTCGTCCCCAGCTCTCATCACAGTGAGATGTATGAAGAGAAGCAGGCACTTGCAGCCGGCCCAGCATGAGCCAGTGGGCCTGCCAGCACAGTGCCAGTTCAGACTTTCCCAGGCAGTTCAGGCGAGTACAAAGAGTGACAAATGGCAATGAGAAACCCTCAGTTCAAATCCTGGCTCTTCCACCAAGGCGGCTGGCCAGGAGGAGGTGGTTTCCAAACTTTACACTGTAATCCTTTATTTGCACAGGTCTCCTGAGGGCTGCACAGCCTCCTAGGGGACACTTTAGGTTGTCTCAATGTTAGTGACAGGGCATGAGTGACATTTAGTGGGTGAATGAGGAACAAGAGCATGAGTTATCCTATAACACACAGCACGGTCCCACATACTGTTCTAAATCCCACACAACTCAATTTGTGCAGGTGAAAAAACTGTTTATAATCATCTAGACCTGGACTCTAATCCCACTTCCCATATGGACAAGAGCATGCGTGTACTTTGGTAGCTTTCATATATGCTGAATTTTCCCGGAATGGAACTGCTATGAGGGAAAACTGGACTTTGCTTTATTCAGGATAGAGCAAATGTCTACTATTTGAAAAAGGGAAGCACCCCCACCCTTGTGTTTCAAAACTCCCCTCAGCTGGCACTTCAGCTTGCCTTCATGGTGGCTCTACCTGTAGTCTTGGGATCTGACTACTTCACTATGTCATCTAGCACACAGACACATCGGAGTACATAAAGTGTTTGAATTACTCTCCTTTTATTTCTCTTTTACATTATAGTCGGCATTACGTTGTCTGGATGACTACACACACACACATACACGGAATTAAGATTATATTTCTATTAATTTTAAGAAGAGTAGCAATAAAAGCAATACCTAACACTGACTATATTTACTATATTCCTGGCACAATTTTAAGCATTCAGCTGTATTACCTTATTCATCCTCAACAAAATCATGTTTATGAAAAGGTTTAAGAGGACAAGGCATTGCTGCTTTCCAGAAGAAAGCCCAGGGGTGCACTGTGAAAATCACTAGCCTAGGCAGGTTCTCCCTACCGCCTGGCCATGCAGAGCCACCCGGCATTCCCACCATTGCTACCCAGTGCCTACAGCAAAGTGACCCCACCCCTACAAGGCTCAGCCTCAAGGTGGGGGTTCCTCACTCCCACCAAGGCAAGCTCCCTCCTCTCCTTCCCTACCCCTTCAAGTACCAGGGCTCCAGGCTCCCCATTCCTGTCTTCCTCTTAGCTCCTAAAAACAGATCAAAGCCAGGTTCTAGGTGGTCAGAGCTGGGGGAGAGCCAGCAGCCCCACCCCAAAGCTACTCAGAAAGTACAGCCGGGCCTGTTCCCTTTTCCTAAAGCACCAGCTAAGCAAATGTGTCTGCTCAGCTGCACACTCCTCTCCCTGTTCCTGGACTCCAGGGACAGGGCTGCTCTGTACAGGGGGAGTGTGTGGGAAGACTGCGAAGAACACTGAGATCCTGCTAAGGAAAGGAGTCAGAGTCCCAGTCCTGTCTCTACTGCTAAGCCCAGCGTGACCCCAGAAAGGTCACCCTTTACTTCCACGCTCCCCATTCCTGCCTTCTTCTTGGCTCCTTTAGCCCAAGTTTCTCTGTGAAGCACAGCTCGTGGCAACAGCTCTCCCCAGCTCAATCAGTCTCTAATTCTGCATATGCCTGGCCCCCTGCACAATGTGAGTCTGCACACCTGCATATGCTCTGCAAGCGCACACCTGACCTGGCTTACACACAAGCCAATAAGAATGAATACAGTAACCAGATGGGAAAGGCCACCCGGCCCAGACCTCCCAGTCAAGCCCTCACTGGAGATGTCCCTCAGCCATTCCCAGTCCCCAGCCATCCTGGCCCCTGCTGCCAGCCCGCCACTCACTGTGTAAAGACGTCTCCGCAGTCTGGCCAGGAGAGGAAAGGAGAGCTCTAGGCCAGGGAACCGACGTGCTGCGGGCATCTCCACGGAGATGGAGCCCGTGAGCAGACCACTGGGGCTTTGGTCCAGGAAGCAAGTAAGCAGGGGCCTCAGCTTGAGTTTCACACCCCAGAAGGGAAGTTGGTTTGTCTCCTAGGACAGACCTCCAAATCCCACTCTGGTGGAGGGAAGTGGGACAGAAGAACTGTGTAGGCCCCTCTGCTCTGCGGCAAGCCCGGCTGGGTATCTACAGCTGGCCAGTCTGGCAAGGAAGCAGCTTAGCTCTTCTCCTCTAGCTGCAGCCTGGGTCCTCTGTCCTGTTTCTGTGTCTTCTCTCCAGTGCAATGGTCACAGCTCCAGCCCTACTCCCTGCCTTCCCCACCCATCTGCCCGCCCTCCCCCCTCCCTTCCTCCCTCCCTTTCTCCCCAGCTGAGCAGCTCTGACACTGGCTGAAAAAGGACCTTTCTGAATCGCTGCCAAGAGGGCAGCAGGAATGGGGGGGACTCTTCCTTCTAGCCACCCGCACCAGCCCCCCCGCCTCCCCATACACAGGCCCCCTGTCTCTGGCTTCTGCCCCAGCTCTCACAGTTGCAGACAACTCCTGAGATTTTAGGGTGGGGGCTGTGTGAATCAAATAGCACGTACAAAGGGGGACTGCAGACCCCTATACACAAGGCTTGTCTGGGGATATAGGGACCAGAACACAACCCAAGTTGGGGTCTAGGATCTCAGTAAGTCTTCCCTGGACCCTGCAGGCAGACCCTTCAGAGACCCTCCCCCATCCCCCAGTCCCAGCCTTGGCTGAGCGTCTCCTGGCTCAGACCCTAATGTGGCCCTGTTACCCTGGTGCCCGACGGAAATAGGAGGCCGGCAGCCTGCCAGAGTGGGGTAGCCCGGCCAAGAGCAAGGGTGGGGTGGAGGGGTGAGGATCTCCACCCCTTACCCTGGGGTTGCCTTGTCTGCTGCCCACAGTACTCTGGCTACCCAAACCAGCTGTCCAAGGTACAAAATTGCCTCAAAATGAACACGCTCAACACCCCTGCTGGGATGCCCCCAGCCCAAAGCTATAGGATCCCAGGCAGTAAGATGTCTCTTGCATAGCACCCACACACACAAAGGCCTCCACTTAAGGGGACTGGAGACTCTCCACCAAGTCCCCATGGGCCCCCATGTTCCTAGAACTGACAAATGATCCCTCTGCCCTTACTCAAAGGGCGCCAGCTGCTCTTACACCCCCCTCCACTACAGCCCCCAGACACACCTGACAGCTGCAGGAAGTTCTCTCCAGCTCCTCCACTCCCCCCACCAGGCTGTGCCTAGGGAGCCCCTGTTTCTTACACACTGCTTTCTTGTCCCTGTCCAGCTGGCCACAAGCTCAGGGAGCCCCAGCTGGCTGGAGGGGCAGGCAGCTGAGGAGAGAGAGTTTTGGGGGGTCAGCATACCAGGGCCTCTCCCAGTACTTAACCTCCCTGGGGATACCTGTAGGGATAGATAATTCCTGGTCTGACCCTAAGGG